ATCTGTTGTTATTTCGTCTCTTTCATTTATGATTTTGTTTATTTGGGTCACCCTTTGCTTCTTGGTGAGCCTGGCTAGAGGTTCATCAATCTTGTTTATCCTTTCAAAGAACCAGCTCTTTGTTTCTTCATTGATTTTTTTTTTGTCTCTATTTCATTTATTTCTGCTCTGATCTTTATTATCTCCTTCCTTCTGCTCATTCTGGGATTTTCTTGTTGCTCTCTTTCTAATTCTTTACGTTGTAGAGTTAGATAATTTATTACCAGTTTTTCTTGTTTTTTGAGGTAAGCCTGTAATGCTATGAACTTCCCTCTCAGGACTGCTTTCACTGTGTCCCATAGGTTTTGGATTGTTGTGTTTTCATTGTCATTCATTTCCAGGATGTTTTTATTTTCTTCTTTAATCTCTTTGGTAACCCAGTCATTGTTTAATAGCATGCTGTTCAGCCTCCAAGTGTTTGAATTTTTTTGATTATTTTTATTGTAATTGATTTCTAATATTATGCCTTTGTGGTCTGAGAAGATGCTTGATCTGAATTCAGTCTTCTTGAATTTGGAGAGACTTTGCCTGTGACCCAATATGTGGTCTATATTTGAAAATGTGCCATGTGCATTGAGAAGAATGTATATTTTGTAGCTTTGGGGTGAAATGTTCTGAAGATGTCAATTAAGTCCATCTGATCTAGTGAGTCATTTAGGATTGCTGTTTCTTTGCTGATTTTTTGTCTAGAGGATTTATCCAGTGATGTCAGTGGGGTATTCAAGTCCCCTACTATGATCGTATTGCTGTCAATCTCTCCCTTGATATCTTCCAGAAGTTTTTTGAGTGCTCCTGCATTGGGTGCATATATGTTTACCAGAGTTCTATCCTCTTGTTGTATCGATCCATTGTATCGATCCCTTTAGTATTATGAAGTGGCCTTCCTTATCTCTTGTTATGGCCTTCACTCTGAGGTCTATTTTGTCAGATATAAGTATTGCTGCCCCAGCTTTTTTTTCATTTCCATTTGCCTGAAAGATATTTTTCCATCTCTTCACTTTCAGTCTGTGTGAGTCTCTTGTTCTGAGGTGGGTCTCTTGTAGACGGCATATATATGGGTCATGTTTTCTTATCCATTCAGCCACTCGATGTCTTTTGATTGGAGCACTTAGGCCATTTACGTTTAAAGTTAGTATTGATAGGTACTTCTTTGTAGCTATTTTTATTTTTTGTGCCTGTGTTCCTTCTTCCCTTTGTTTTTTTTCTTCTTTTTACAACAGTCCCTTTAGTATTTCTTGCATTGCTGGGTTGGTAGTGATAAACTCGCTTAGCCTTTTTGTTGTTGTTGTTGTTGTTGTTGTTGTCTGTGAAGCTCCTGATTTCCCCTTCAATTTTGAATGATAGTCTTGCTGGATAGAGTATTCTTGTATTCATTCCCTTGCTTAGCATCACTTTATACTAGTATACTTCCTTCCATTCCTTTCTGGCCTGATGTTTTACTGTTGAGAAATCATTTGATTATCTAATGGGAGATCCCTTGTAGGTAACTTCTGTCTCTCTCTTGCAGCCTTTAAGATTCTTTGTTATTAACATTTGCCATTGTAATTACGATGTGTCTTGGTGTGGGTCTTTTTGGGTACATCTTGTTTAGGACTCTGTGGTTGTGTGACTTTTTCTTCCCCAAATCAGGGAAGTTTTCAGACATTTCTTCAAATAGGTTTTTCTAACCCTTGCTTCTCTTCTTGTCATTCTTGCACCCCTATTATACATATGTTGCTTCATTTCACATTGTCCCAAAGCTCCCTCAGGCTCTCCTCCTGTCTTTTGGTTTTTTTCTTCAATTGCAGTTCAGATTGGGTGTGTTTTGCTGCCCTATTTTCTAATTCGCTAATTTGGTCAACTCTGCTTCTCCTAGTCTCCTGTTGAAAGCTTCTATATTGTTTTTTATTGTAGCTATATCACTCTTTATTTCCTCCTGATTCTTACATAGGTTGTTGATTTTCTCATCCATTCGGTTTATGAACTGTATGACCCTTATTCTGAAGTAAAGACCCGGTGCATGACATTTGTGCACTCAGGGGGCGGTCCCTCAGCCCGGCCCACGCCCTCTTGCAGTCCAGGAGCCCGTGGGGAGCAGGCCTAAGCCATCAGTTGGACATCCTTAGCACTGCTGCAGAGGCAGGAGAGGCTCCCGCCACTGCCGCTGTGCTCGCCAGCCGTGAACCTGGTTTCTGGCTGAGCGGCGCTCCCCCTGTGGGAGTGCACTGACCACCAAGGGGCAGCTCCTACGTTGAGGAGTTTGGGGTAAAACTGGCTCTCCGACATCCCCCAAGGGGTCCCGGATTGTGAGAGGGTGCAGGCCAGGCTGAGGGACTCCACCGGTGCACAATCGGGGCCGGGGAGGGATGTGGGAGGTTGGCCAGCCAGGGAGGGGCTGCAAGAGGGCTCCAGGGCGTGTTCGTCCAGTCTTGCTCAATCCTGATTGGCCGGACCCCAGCAGCAAACTAACCTACCAGTCGGAGCGTCTGCCCCCTGGTGGTCAGTGCATGTCATAGCAACTGGTCGACCGGTCAACTCTCTGCCCCCTGGTGGTCAGTGCATGTCATAGCGAAAGGTTGAGCGGCCTTAGCATATCATTAGCATATTACGCTTTGGTTGAATGGACGACCAGACGACCTGACACTTAGCATATTAGGCTTTTATTATATAGAATTCTTTTTTGACATATTGTATGCCTCGGTTTCATTTAGTTCCTTTTCTGGTGATCCCTCCTTTTCTTTCCTTTGGGGTTTGTTCTTCTGTCTCCCTATTTAGCTTTCATCAAAGGATCTAGGTGTCGAGTCGCGTGGAGCCTGTCGCTGCAGCGGTGGGCTTGGTGGCGGGTCACGTGGTTGTGGGCAGCAGCAGCTCCTTAGACGGTTGTGGGGTGGCCACTTCTTACATGTTCACGGGGCAGCCGCTCCTCACGCAGTCACAGGCATCAGCTGCTCCTCGCGTGGTCGTGGGTGGTGGCTGCTCCTTGAGGAGTCGTGGGGTGGCTGCTCCTCGCGCAGTTGTGGGCAGCAGCTGCTCCACAGGCAGTCGCGGGCGGTGGCTGCTCGCCCTGCTGCTGGAGTGGTCACAGAGCCCGGGGCTGCTGCGTAAGGCTCGACTGTTCGTTCATGCATTCGCGATGCCCAGGGCTAAAGCGTCTGGCTGATGGGAGGGGATTGCCCTCTGGAACTCACAGGAGCCCTCAGCTGGGGAGGCTGGAGTCCTGGTGTCCATGGGTCGGCAGCTGAGGCAGCAGGTCCTTGGCCAGAGTGGCTGTAGGATCCCGGGTGGTGTCTGAGAGCATGCTGGGTGGAGGTGAGGCTGGGCTCCCAGTCACAGCAGCTCTCCCCCTTCGAGATGGTGCAGCCTCTGTGGCAGAGCCGGCACTCCGGGAGAGATTACAGCAGTGGCAGAGACTGCCCAGCTAGGCGAGCCTGTCAGCCAGCCCCTGAGGGTCCTTGAGATCTAGCTCTTCCTCACTCAGACATACACACGCACCACATGTCCACACACTCCCCTTTCACTCCCTCACTCGCACTCTCTCCCTCATTGCCATCCTCCTGGCCGCCATCTTGGAATCAAGTATTATTTTTTGAGTCCTTAGTGCCTGACTCTTACTAAATATCAGCAAATGTTTGGGTGAATGGATTTATGTGAGTAAAATGGCATCCTCAGCTCAAAGGGGAGACAGTTTATAAATTCTAATTTAAAGAAAAAACAAGAACAGACTCTTGGCTTAAATTTTGACTTCTTCTCATCCATCTGCATGGTCTCTATTTGCAGAAAGCCTATGGAAGTCCCTGCCCAGCTATCTCTAAATCCGGTTTCTCCCCTCTCTGCTGTAACAAAACAAGAGGCTAGTGCACTGGAGAGAACATAGGCTTTGGAATGAGACAGACCTGGGTTCATTTCTTGGCACTATCATTTTTTAAGCTGTAGGATCTTAGGTAACCCCTCTGAATCTCATTTTCACATCTATAAAATGTAGGCCACAGTACCTACCTCACAGCATCATTCTGAAGAATAATGTAAAACTTTTAGTAAGATATTTAACATATTGTAGGCCATCAGAAAATAGTAGCTGCTGATATTATTTTGAACTAGAGGCCCAGTGCATGAATTCATGCACGGGTGGGGTCCGGCCGGCCTGGCCCAAATTGGGGCGGATCGGGGCTGGACCTGTTGAGAGGAGGAGACCGCAGGAGGTTGGCCGGCTGGCCCACCCTGATAGGGGTGGGGGGGCCAATTAGGGACCAGCGGTCTGGGGAAGGGGCCCTGCCCCTAATCAGAGTTGGGGGGGGCAATCGGAGGTGGGGCCGGCCGGGGAGAGGGGCTGCAGGAGGTTGGCCGGCTGGCCCCACCCCCTATTGGGGTGGGGGGGGGCGATCAGGGGCGGGGCCTGCTGGGGGGAGGATCTTCAGGAGGTTGGCCAGCCAGCCCCGCCCCCTTTTGGGGTGGGGGTGCTAACGGGGCGGGGCCGGCTGGGGTGGAGGGGCTGCAGGCCAATCAGGGTGTGGCAGGCTGATTGGAGGTGGGGCCAGCCTGGGGGAAGGACCGAGGGGAGGTTGGACAGCCGCCCCACCCTCGATCAGGGTGGGAGAGTCCAGTCAGGGGCGGGGCCGGCTAGGGGGAGGGGCCGAGGGAGGTTGGATGGACGACCCCCCCACCCCCCCTCATCGGGCCGGTTCGCTGGCTGCAGTGGGTGTTATAGCAACTGGTTGTTCCAGTTGTTCCGGCATTCCGGTTGCTGGCTTTTTATATATATAGATAGTCTTCAGGTTTTCACATTTGGATCTGAGGGCTGGATATGAAGCCCAGTGTCCAGGGTGCTGGAGGTGGGGGCCCTTTCTTGGGTGGGATGGGACCCATGGCTAATGGGTGGGCTTTTTGAGGTCTATTTGCCTATGGACTCTATGTTGGATTTCCTAGCTTAAGACTCCATACCTGGGACGTGTGTGCCCAACTTGTTTTCTCTTCCCTTTTTGTAGGCTCCCGGGCCAGTGCCAGTACTTGGGCTTGCCAGTGGCAGATTACTTCAAGCAGTGGATTAATCTGAAAAAGGTACTGTGTCTGAGCCCCACTTGGGTGCTTCGTCAGGTTCTCCTATGCCTCAGATCTCCCCTCCCTTGCTTTCTTTTCTCATTTCTGTTTTTTTCTTTTTGTTGTTCTCATCTTTCCTTTTCTTTCTGTTCTTCTCTTTCTTAACATCCCTGTTTCCTCTTCTCTAGCTAATGAGCCTTGGAAGGTTGTGGTTATTTCTGAAAGTGGGGAGCTGCATGTGGGGACCAGGCTGCTGAGTGGAGTATGACACTTCCCTATTTGGTATCACCCAGATGTGCAGAGAAGTTCCAGTAAGGGGGTTTCAGGTTCTTGCTCAGAGCTGAATCTCTGGGCTGAGCTGTATTATTGCCAGGAGAGATGTGGTACTAACTGAATCTCTGGGGAAGTCTCCTCTTTAATGTGATCATGAGTGTGGCCTCTGACCCTTCTGACTGGCCCTGGTATCTTCCTCTGGTTGGCAGGTAGCGTTGGTTCAGGCTGGCTTTGTCCTGCCTAGCCACAGCAGAGCCTTGCTCACATGAGAAGGGCCATGGAAACTACAGCCCAGTTCCCGACGAGCACCAAGCACCTGGGGAGAGGGCTGAGGCTGTGGGCTGGGAGGTGGGCCGTGGCAGATAATGGATCCTCATAAAACTCTTCTTTCCTAGTGTGTGCTGTACCTCCTAGGTAAACGGAAGAAAGGAGGCGTAGGAATAGACTCCCTAGATCCCTGCTCTAGTGGATCCTTGCTCCAGGAGGCTCAGTGCACTAGGGAGGCTCATCCCCATAAATCCTTCTAAAGTAAGATCAACAGCCCTGGGCAGCCTCAGGAACCCCATGCCACCAGTCAGCAATGACTCCCAGGAAGCTTGGAGAAGGGAAAACACACCAGGGGTCAGAGTAGTGGCTGCCAGGGGGTTCAGAGAAGAGAGGTCAGGCTGGGATCCTAAGGATTTGGGTCTTGAACTGGGCATATTCAAGGGAGATGCAATATGAATCTGAGGAGGAGAGGCTTTCTAGGCAGAGGAAGTAGTGTGCTTTTGGTGTGTGGGGGTGGGGCTAGAGCTAAGTGAGCATGGGAAGGAGCAGTGAGAGAGAATGACCTTGGACTTTGTTCCATAGGTCTCAGGGCAGCCATTATCTGTGGCAATATTTGTGAACTCTTTTGCTTTTCCATGGTACAGAGGCCTCTGCACTCTGCATTGTTTGTACTTTGACCTCTACCCATCTTTCCTGACACACATAGCCCCCCACCGCCTCATGCACCCAAACAACAGCTGCTTACTACCTGCCATCTTTGGCTGTGGAAGCCAGGCTCTGTGCTACCTTCGGCTCTTGGCCTGCGACCTTACTTCTCTGTGAAATGCCCCCTAGGCATCTTCATCGGGTATTTTCCCTCTCCTTAAAGATTCAGCTCAGGTATCACCTCTGCAGTCAGTCTCTTGCCTTGAGGCTCCGTAACACTTTGGATCTTAGAGTGGTGAAACTGAGTCAGTGTGTGTGTTTCCTTACGGCCATGTCTATTTGGAGCACAGAGACTGAATCTGGTTCCTTTCTGTGTCCCCAGTGGCCAGATCAGGGCTAGGTACAGAGTATGTGCTCTGAATGATTGCTGGCTGCCTGGCTGGTCTTTGAGAGCTGGCTCCATAGAGGCCCTCTTACTCAGGATTTCACAGAGTTGCACGTGTGGGTGTGGTTAGGCCTGCGCTCCTAGAAGACAGCATGCCAGCTGTCAGAGTGCATCTGAGGCTGCTTGCTGGCCTTGGCAAATGCAATGTGAAGGCCCTGCCAGGCGAAGCAGGCGCTGACCATGAACAATTGCTCTGTGAAGTTCACTAGACTTTTTGGTATATGGATCGCTCCCTGCCTCTAGGTTCCTTGGCAGAAAGGCAGGAAAGCAGCCGACCCATGTGGTAACATTGCCACTCAGGGCTACCTTGATGCTGCTGCAGGTGGAAGTGGGCTGCCGTAGCCTGTTCAGCTTGGTTCTCTGCCAGATTGTGCTGAACCATAGAGGGGTGAATGGGCACAAGGGGAAACTGAGGACCCTAATCCCAGTTGGCCTTGTGATGGCCCCTTGGGAGGTAAACTTAGCAAGTCTAAGAAAAAACAAGAGGTCTAACCCCTTCCTTCCTGCCCTCTAGCCACCTCATGTTGCAGCTTTGCTTGAAGGTCCAGCAGGAGAGATGTCTTAATTCCAGACTTTGGTTCAGTCCTTGCCAGCAGCCATTCAAATTAGGGAGGCTACAGGGCCCTGGAGGTCCAGGGGCATGGTGATCTTTCTGTTGTTTATACTGCATGACTTAGTGCAGGCTACACAAAGATACCTGCTCCCTTAAAAAGTAACATTAAAAGCAAAACCAGAGAGGTCATTGCCAAGGTTGTGGGAGTATCATGCAAAAGGCTTACTCCATGCCTTCTTTCCCCATATGTGACCCACGCTCTGACTATCTACAGCAGTGATGGCGAACCTTTTGAGCTCGGCGTGTCAGCATTTTGAAAAACCCTAACTTAACTCTGGTGCCGTGTCACATATAGAAATTTTTTGATATTTGCAACCATAGTAAAACAAAGACTTATATTTTTGATATTTATTTTATATATTTAAATGCCATTTAACAAAGAAAAATCAAACAAAAAATGAGTTCACGTGTCACCTCTGATACGCGGGTCATAGGTTCGCCATCACTGATCTACAGGATCCTCTCCTGTCCTTGATCTTACTTGGTCCCTCCTTCCTTTCCTTCTCTTCTCAACTCCCCTACAGAGCTTTTCCCCATTAAAAAAGTGGGGAGGGTTCTGGTCTGCTTGTCCACCTAGATCTGCCTAGTAAGTAAGCAACTGGGAGTAAATTCACCATTCCCATTTTCTAAGGCCTCTAATCTGAGGAAAGGCAAAATGTTGTTTTTCAGCCGCCCTCTCCTGTCCAGAAATGGTGCGGGTTGCATCAGGGAAAAGCAGCTTTTAATGACCAGATTTCCACATCTCCCGCCTCCACCTACTTCCCCTGTAGCACAGTGGAGCAAGCCAATGATTTGCTGACATTTGGAGTGTCATTGAATGATCTTATACTC